AAAAGGCCTATGGCAACTGCACCCTAAGTTTATATTAAGTTAAATTAAATTATGGCTATTCATTGACTACCTGCATCATGACCAAGTAAGATAAAATATGGAAACATTAATTGATGAACAAGTTTAAGTATTTACCTCTGGCTTTGAAGGAGTTCGGATCACACCACCCCCAATATGCCACTCTAGCATATTAACTATATTGAGTGAAAGGCCCTTGAAAAATAGCAGATGCAAACAAACTACCAAGAAAAACCACCCCCTCGAAAAAAAATATGACGCAACTTGCTCTGACCTTCTGCCTTTTTCTTAAAAGCAAGACATAAAATTCTCACATGAACGTCTTCTCTGTACCAGAAAGTTTTAACTGTTTTATTATCAAGGATGGAAAGTGGAGGTTGAAGGAAATCTTTAAAAAGAATAACTTAATTCTCAAAGTTTTGCCGGTCCTGTGCAGCTTCTTATTCCAGAGAGACGGAAGAGGTTTAGGTCTGTTAATGGACATGCCCTGTGCCACATTGAAAACTGTACTCCAAGGCAGTTTAAAACGATGTACTTCCTAGTTTTTGCTAGAAATTAAGGATACCAAGGATTACTAACTAATATATGTAATAAGACTACTAAGAAAAATAATAAGGGAAACAACTTATGAAAATACGTAAGGAAAGGAAGTTATGAGGATTTTTTTTGTGTTCAGAAGGAGGAAGAATTATTTTGTCCTGTTTTGGAGGTTATTTAAAGTTATTTCAAAATGAAAAAGAGGATAATAATGGGCAAAAGCTAAACGGACACAGAAAGTGGTGGTGGTGGGGGGGGGAGAATGAGAGAGCGAATCTTACCTAGTCAAGCTGGCTAAAATTTAATGAATTTATAATAATGATTAAAAAATCAGCCTCAATGTCAAAACTACACTAGTGTAAAGTCAGAATTTGTTTTTCATGTTGTTAAAACAATCAAGTTTTCTTAGATTATTAGTTTGCTATTGATAAAAGATTAGGAAAGGGCTTTCTTCACCTAAGTAAGTGACCTACCTATAAAACAAAGATTTTAGGTCTCACCAAAATAATTTTCTGTGCCTCTTACTGTCTTTTTCAAGGTCTTTCATTGCTTATTAAAACCAAATCATCATTGTCATAAGAGCCAAGGTTTTGTTTTCATTTTAATTACGTGACTTTCTGTATTTGCCTTTGATATCTTTTAATTGTCACTTTGGTTAAATGGACAGCTAAGCACTGTCTCATGGGGAACTGTGATCCTATTGAATCGGATGTTTTAAATCTTTGGACATTATTGACGACTTTCTCACATCAATTCTAAATAAAGTGTTTTTGATCTTGAACTAACTTTGGGACTTTGTAGAGAGCCCCTGGGAAAATCTCAAAGGAATTCGTTTTCTCTTCTTATGAAAAGAGAGATATTAAACTTTTTAGGCTTGTTTTAATACATTAAGTTGCATGGGAAGTATTGTCAAATAAGAAATGATGTTAAGTCTTCTTTACATGCTATTTGTATGGATACATGTTATTAATATAAGGGTTCCAGAAATTGGACAGAATTACTAAAAATCTGATATGGCCAAAATATGATAGCCATTAAAATTCAGGTATTATCTTAAAATGTTGTGTATCACAGACATAGCCAGATTACTTCTTCAACTGCATTGTATGAATTCTCAGGGCCATTTTAAGCCATTTATCATTCACTGACAGTTATGGCTTTACTCTGATGCTGTCCTGAAAACTTTCGCAAATAGCTGTGATACAAAATCACAAGAAATTAATGGAAAAGATGCTGACAGGTAGAGGTTTCCGATCCTTTTGAACTGGGGTTGTTCCTAGCCTTCCGGTCCTACAAGCTGAACCTGGATGGATGTTAATGACCACAGTGATATGCATTTGTACACGTTGCTTTCTGAACTATTTCTTTATGAATCAAGTTTGCTCATAACCATTACTTGTGTGAATTTTTTTCATGTGAAATAAAATCTTAAGCCCTGTCAGCCAACTGAATAGATCTTGGCCTTGAGCATTACCCAACAATGAAGCCCCCAAGCAAGCTGTGACTGAGGAATTCAAGCAGAGACTGGTGACCACCTGTCAGGAACATGGTAGGAAGGATTCCCCAGAGAGAGGAAAGCTGACTAGGGCAGCGCTGGCTGCACCTGGAGGAGTCACCAGATGCCCAGGCCATAGCCCTGAACAACCAAATCGGACATCTCTGGAGATGGGGCCCAGTCCTCAGTGGTTCTTCAGACTCCCCTGGTGATTTCATGTGTAGCTGAGGTCGACAACTCCTTGACGAGGCGACATGAAGTTCTTCCTAAATGTTATGAACCTGTTTTTGTCCTGAATAACCCTTCAGCCTCTTGTAAGTATTATGAGAAGAAAAGGGGAAATTTAGGGGTAGAATGAGGAATATCCTTAGTTGGAAGTTCTTTAGAAGTTAACACGATGACATGGCAACCACAAGAGCCAGTTTAATCCTAGGCTATATTAATAGATAATCCAGAACAAATGGAATCTACCCACCAGATTCCCCATCCACCTCTCCACCAGACAGCCCTTCATTCATGCATTCAATTACCTACCTACCTACCTACCTATCTAGTGCTCCACTTGCTTCCCATCTGTACCTTTAAGCTGGTGCCTTCCTCCCTCCCTTCTTCCTTCTCTTTCTCCTTTATCTGTCTCTGCCTTCTTTCTCCCTCCCTCCTTCCTTTGTTTCTTTTTGCAGAGAACCTAGGGCAGCAAGAAAAAATAATTATTTAGTGTAGTACATTCCACTAGGACTTTTCTGCAATGATGAAAATATTTACCAGTGTTGTCCCATAAGGCAGCCACTCACCTCATTGCTGTGGAGCCCTGCGAATGTGGCCAGTGCAACTGAGAAACCAAAGTTTTCATTTTATTTAATTAATTTAAATTTAAGTAGCCACAAGTGTCAAGTAGCCACCATATTGGCCAGTGTAGGAGTAATGGCCAGCATGATACCTGACAAGTAATACTGCTTAATAAATGCTTCTTAAGTAGGTAAAAACATGGTGGGTAAGAAATCCTCACAACCCTGACAGGAGGGCAGGGGGGATACAGCCGGTGGGAAGGAGCAGGCCAGAAACCAAACCGCATGATCACAGCAACCCCCTCCCCACCCCTCTGGAATGCTTCAAGGCCAGTGTCCTGGGAAACAACAGAACACCAACTTTCCACCCAGCCAATCAAGGAAGTAACTATTCACCCTGGGTGCAAAAATCAGTCCATCTACAGAAGAGGATGACTCCCTCTGATAACCCCCCCACACACACACATTCCAACCCTACTGATAAGGGGTAATAAAAATCTCTTGAAACCCTGTGAAAGTTGAGCTGACTCCTGGTCAGACTCCACTCTGCTCTTTTTCTCTCCTCTGCTAATAAAGCCTTTCCTTAATCCCTGCACTGGCCTCCTCTCCTTCTTATGAACCCTCCCCCTAATTCCATGCCTGCTCCTCTCAAGGAGGGAGCAGAATAATTTCCATTCTGTTTGTGACATTCAGACTATGCAGCTGAAATATTATGCTCTGTTCCAGGCACCACATTTTCAGAGTCAGTATCAACCTAGAATACAGAATAGGGTAGGATGATAAAGATCTAGAAACACCAGCCATGGCTGGCAGAACTTAGAATATTTCATATGAAAAATAACAGTCTTTGGATTCATTTTAGTTCCTCATTTTTTTTTAAATGCCAGTACTTGTACATCTTTGGTCTGGACCCAAGTTTTCCAATCTTTCCTCATTTTTTGTTTGTTTTGTTTTGTTTACTTAAAGGATCGGATTACGCAATGTTTTAGGTCCAGGTAGATAGAAAAGGCTATGATATGACAGCTTTTCCGCAGACAAGGGAGTAGAATCTCGAAGAGGAGAATTTGCTGACATTAGAGGAAATGAGATTCAGCTACCCATGAGGAAGAATTTTGTGAGAACAGTGAGGAATAGTTTCCTCCCTGAAAATATACAAGAACGTCTTAAAGTTGAGATGGGGAATGAAGACAATCTTCTTCCCAGCTGCAACGGTTTCCCAGAACTTGTGTTTTAGAGAGCAGCACAGAAATTTCCACAGTTGCCAATCATCCATATGGTCACTAGTGCAAAGGCTACACCCCATTCTCAGCATGGGTTCAGTTCACTTCACGTGGTTTCATTCACCTGCCAAGTGATTTGGGCTATTTTTTACCAACCTTCTTGCCCAAATGTGATACTTGATTACTACGTTTTAATAACTGGTCTTTCCGCTGTGGCTGAGTTTTAGTTTTGGATACAGACTATGCTATTTATTTGAAGGAGATGATCACAAAGGGTACTTTTTATGGGGAAGATGTTCTAGGCAATCAAAACAACATTTTTGGGGTGTGGTCAGTGTGACCATAGAGCTCAGCTTCTTGGGGACTACTCTGAAAGTTTAAATTCTATATCCTCGTCCTGGTTCCACGTAGCTAAAAATATTTGAATAGATAATTTGTGAAGACTCCAACATCTTGAATAGATATTCATGATGATTTAATCATTGTCATTTTGTTGTGTAGTTAAGTTGTTCCCAACTTGCCCTGCTGTAAATAGTCCTGGAATAAATATCTTGCATGTTTTAAATTATTTCTTTAGATTCCCCAAAGCAAGATTCTAGCCCTAATCATATTTCTGAGTCTCTGAATGCATTTTGCCAAATTGCTTCCAGGGAGTCTCTGACAGTGTAAGTGCCCTTGGCACTAGGAGGAGGTTGTGCCAGTTTTAGCCAGCATCCGTCAACATGGAGAAGGTCTAAAACAGTGGTTCTCAACCTTCCTAATGCTGCGGCCCTTTAAAATAGTTCCTGTGGGTTGCGACCCACAGGTTGAGAACCGCTTCTCTAAAAGAAAAAAAATTACTTGACCAATTAGATGGGCAAAAGAGATGCCATTATTGTTATAATTAACATTTTTTAGTTACCAAGGGTATTTTTTTAACCGCAATTATTACTCATTCATATTTCCTTTTCTGTGAGCTATCTTTTTGTGCCCTTTACTGAGTTTCTTCTGCTCAGTATATCTGCTTTTTTTCATATTGAGTCATACAAAGGGCTCACATCTTTTGCCCCAGGTGAAAAAACTCAGCCTGCATGGTTCAATGCCATCATCATCCCCTTCT